AGGCAGTGACGACAATGACGTAATGAATAGTGCTCCTTCTGTTGCTGCCCCACACAGTAGCATAAGTGAAACGCCAGACAGTGGGTGCCAAGGGTGCACAGCGAATCGGGTGGGGTGATCGGGTGGCACACAGACAATGGTGCCACACTGATTGATCCCCCACCATAATAACACACATAATAACGGCGGTGNAAACGCCAGACAGTGGGTGCCAAGGGTGCACAGCGAATCGGGTGGGGTGATCGGGTGGCACACAGACAATGGTGCCACACTGATTGATCCCCCACCATAATAACACACATAATAACGGCGGTGGAAGATGCTGCACCAGGATAATAATAATAACACTGACGCTCTTCTCTCTATCTGCCGCTCGCGCGGCAAAGAATGCAGTATTGATTGAGCCGAGACAAAACTGATTCGGGAGTCCTCTCCACTCCAGTCGCTTTCTCTCACTCACTTACTCTTCTCGGAAGCGATTTGCACTCTATCAACGAGAGGCTAGAAGAGGGCAGAGAGTTGGCGAAAATCATCATGATCATCTCAATCAAAAGAGAAAGAGATGGAAAAGGGCAAAAAGAAAGAAGTGCTTCACTTCAATCAGCAGCAGCAGCAGCAAAGCTGTCTGACCCTAGCACTTCTGCTTCTGGTTCGCCTCCAACTGCTAACTTACAACTCACAGACTGACTGACTATCATTATGGGCCGCGCGCGCGGCTGCCGCAACGGCAACGGGCATCGTTACCATAATGGCTTTAAAGTGAACTTTTAATTATAACCAAGCAGAAAGAGGTCCTTTGTAAGAAGGGAGAAAGGAAAGGAAAGGAAAGCCACGAGTGGCTGAAGGGCGCCCGCGCATTAATTGTCGAGTAAGAAGGAGTTGCTTAAAATGAGAGACTTTAAAAAGCGGTCCCTTCTCTCTTTCTCTAAGCTAATTTACAAGTTAGTGTGAGCATGTAACATCAACTGGCAAATAAAACAATGAAAGCATCTCAGCTTCTGCTGATGCTGCTAGTGACTTCCCTGCTGAGCGCCATGCCGTCGCCGCTGCCGCATCACTTTACTGCTTTGGGTAATGATAGGTTAGACTACTACTATTGCTAGTGAACAAGGACTGGCTCGTGTTGTCCGTTTGCTGTCCCCACTTTACTAAAAAATAACAAGCATCCACTTTTTCAGGACTTTTTCAGGACACAAGCATCCTCTGCATGCATTTTTACATGACAAGCATCTGCTGTGTTCACTACAAAGACAATGCAGCAAAGTGGAATGCTGCTGATGCTGCTGCTGCTGCTTGAGCCGGCTGTTTTCCTAATGACACAGTAACTACAAATTAGCTGACTTTTAGAACTTCTGAATTCAGAGATNAATAACAAGCATCCACTTTTTCAGGACTTTTTGAGGACACAAGCATCCTCTGCATGCATTTTTACATGTTTACATGACAAGCATCTGCTGTGTTCACTACAAAGACAATGCAGCAAAGTGGAATGCTGCTGATGCTGCTGCTGCTGCTTGAGCCGGCTGTTTTCCTAATGACACAGTAACTACAAATTAGCTGACTTTTAGAACTTCTGAATTCAGAGATGAGACACGTGCACAAATTCATAGCTTTGACAATTTTTCAAAAATTTGACAAACTAAAGTGTGCATTTTACAAAACTAGCCAATCATTTGCTGTAGTCAACAGCAACAGCAGCCTTGAAGCACCAGTGTTCATTAATCAAACAAAAGGGTGGCACTAGTACTGCACTATTTGTATTGCAGCACTGAAGCAATCGATTCAATTAAAACTCAAATCGAGTGAGATAATTTGCTGTTGCTGCTTCGGTTTCATTACAGTGTTCCACGACGAGTTGATGGTAGGGTTAACCAAACTGGCCCTAGTGACTTAACCAAGCAGCAAAAACTGCTGCTGCTGCTGCTGCCTGCAGTCAATATCGATCCAAACTTTCTTCATCTTCTGCTTCTTGTAGAAGTAGCATTCATCGATTAGTCTTTGCACTGGTATGTGAACCGCCAAAAAGGGGCCACCACCACCACTGCCACAGTTCATTTGGCATTCACAGACGCACACATATGCATTAGGCACAGACAGATGCAGACACAGACACACACACACAATCAGGCTAATCATGTGCACAATTTGCAAATATTATTATTACTTCTGCGCTCTTTTTGGTGCAGCAGCTTTGCGGATAGGGCGCTTGATTAGGAGTAGCCTCAAACCAGCACCACCACCACCAGCAGCAGCTCTAAATTGGCTTAGCAGTGATCGCTAGTGAAAGTGTATGTATGTATTTGCAGCCTTAATTTGCAGCAGCAACAGCAGCAGAGAAAGGTCGCGGCTACAAGTTGATTAACCGCAAACATGACCAGGCACAGCAGAGGCGAGCACACACAGACAGAATCGACGGAAGGCTGCAGCAGCACAGCACGAGAATATACAGGCGTAATTTAATTAGAATTCGCACAGTGGCAATCTATATCGATGCGGCGGCAGTAGTACAATCAGTTTGCAGCAGCGGTCATAAGCGACGCCGAGCACGTACTGCAATCAGGCAATCACAGGGGCTGCTGGTGCTGGTGCTGATTCCAAAAAGACCCAAAATGCGAGTGCCGTTAGGAGAAAGCGAGTTTGCCCAGCAAAGTCTGACCAGAGCTAATCAAACAGCAAAGCTGTACTGTGTGAGCAGACAGACATTCTCGACCACTTTGGGCGCCCCGATGTAATTACTACTCTACTCTACTCGGTGGCCATCAGATTCGGGTGCCCTCATTCTAAACTAGCCACTCAATTGCGTATTCCAACTTTGCAACATTCTCAATGTTGATCAAGAGCAGTTGTCGTGTGCTCAGTTCTACCAAAACCAAAAGGCATCAGTGTTTACGCTTTAGGCTGGCCCAGTATCAAGCGCCCAATTAGTAGGACAGCACAACACAAAGTAGATTGTCACATTGCTTGCTCACTCTCTCTCTCTCTCTCCTTCACGTTCATATGTCAAAGGTTGCGCACAGCGACAGAGCCCAATTGGTGTGAGTTACATCTGCATTACAATGAAGAAGAAGAAGTGAATAGAATGGAATAAAAGTAAGCTCGTGAACGTCGTTGTCGACCAAGTGTCAGTGTGACACTTTAATGCACGTCAATGTCAAGTGAGAACGAAGAGCGAGACAGTTTGCCTGTCATGCCTAGAACGCAGCAGCCTTGGAACACACACTGTTTGACGTCTCAATGGTCTCAATAGCCTCAATGGTCGTAGTAGAACTGTTCCGCTGCCGCCGATACAGACATCCAAATGCTAATTTGGTGTCAGTGTCGGTGTCGGTGAGTGTGCCACCATTTGACCCCCACTTCTTTTTGGTGGTGTCAGAGAAAAAGAGAAAGAGAGATAGACCGACAGGCAAAGAACTGAATGGCAGTGGGTCGATTGCCTGCCTGCCAACAGCCAACAAATTGGCCAACAGCTCGCCGGCCAAGTGGCACAAATAGACAGACAGACAGACAAATTGTAAATGGCAAAGGAAAAACGAGGAACTGAACAGCATCAGCAGTAGTAGTGAGTGATATGGCGCCCAGGATCCCCTTTCNAGTGGCACAAATAGACAGACAGACAGACAAATTGTAAATGGCAAAGGAAAAACGAGGAACTGAACAGCATCAGCAGTAGTAGTAAGTGATATGGCGCACAGGATCCCCTTTGCCCCCTCCTCCTGGCGCCCAATTGTCTGGTGCCTCGTGGTAGTGGTGGTGCTGGTGATGCTCAGTGAGCGGATAACGGTGGTGCAGCTGCTGGAACCAACTTGAACCTTCTCTGCCTCCTCCTTTCTCTTGACGGCAAACTCTCTCTCCTTCTCTCCGCCACGTTTAAACGCCTGATTCCGCCTGAGTCCACGTGAACGCGTCTGTGGATCTTCAAGTCAGGCCAGTTAGCCTAGGCAGCAGCCACTGCCGCCGCTCAGCCATCCAAGGCACGGAGCATCCGCAAGGAGCTCTTTCTTAGAACTGAGACAAACTTCTTCAGCTTCAGTTTTAGCTTCAACGTCAGCTCTGTGTTCACTGACACTGTCACTTTCTGCACCACCGCCATCACCGCCACCAACAACAACACCTTCTGAAGACAGTTCTGACGACGTTGCTGCCAGTCATCCTGCCACTTACACTTGCTGCTGCTAATTCTCTCGCTCTTCCCTTTTCAGTCAGCCACAATCGAAATATTAACTTTAAATTAGCTGCCGCCGCCGCCGCGGCCGAAGGAGCAGATGAGTGAGAGCTAGTGAGCGAGTTACTCGTGCTCGCACAAGCAGATAATACGATCTTTTGGGTAGATGAACCACACACACACACAGACTGGATGGCTGATAGGCTAACTAGCTATATCAGCAGCAACCATCACCCACACACACACACACCATCTCCATCCGCTCTGCTGATCTTCAAACTCGACTGCTGTTAAAGACATACAACACACAAACACACTCTGACTCTCCACCAAATCTATTTATCCACCGAGGCGAAGTCATGGCAGGCTGGCAAAGGGCTGCCATAGCGGTAAGCAAGGCCAGACCAGGCCAGGCCGGACCGGCAGACTTATTTGCGCTTGTTTACTGCCTTTTCAAGCAGACAGTCAGACAGAGAGACAGACAGTGGCAGTGCCCAAACAAACAAACAAGGGCTAACCGATAATGGCAAGTTAATGAGCCACTGACAACAGAAGAGGAAGAAGAAGAGGGGGTGAACTTGTAAAATTTAAAACACACTACTAATCCAAATTACGTGCTCCACTTGTGCGAAATGGAGAGTGCGGACATTCTTTGGAGCGCATGAGTTGTCAGCACTGCAAAGAGAGAAACTGAGTCGATTATTTCGCATTGTACGCCCAATTGGCTGAATGAGAAAATGAGTGAATGAATGAGTGAATGAAAAAGAAAGCAAACAAAAACCTCCTTCCTGTTCAACTGATCACTAACATTCACCTTTTTATCTCATTATCATCCCAGGCCACTCAGGAATCAATCAACTGGGCGGTGTCTATGTCAACGGGCGACCGTTGCCTGATTCGACCCGCCAGAAAATCGTCGAGCTGGCGCACAGCGGCGCCCGGCCCTGTGATATTTCGCGAATACTGCAGGTACTGCTACCACTCACTACTCTTCCAGAGTCACACCCCAATTACCCCAATTACCACTACCACACAGGTGTCCAACGGCTGCGTGTCCAAGATACTGGGGCGGTACTACGAGACGGGCTCGATCCGGCCGCGTGCAATCGGTGGCAGCAAGCCACGCGTCGCCACCTCCGATGTAGTGGGCAAGATTGCCCAGTACAAGCGAGAGTGCCCGTCCATCTTCGCCTGGGAGATTCGCGACCGACTGCTCAGCGAGGGATGCTGCACCAACGACAACGTGCCCTCGGTAAGTGTGAGCTGCCCCCTTTTCTACTTTTTACTTAATTTTAGATACTTTAGTTACCTTATTTTCTAGCGTTTAAGTAATCAGGGTCTACTCAGGGTTAGGTTAAATTAAGCAAACTGCTTTTTGAATTCAATGACAAAAGTGCTCTAGTTTTTTCCGTCTGGTGCTCTTTCTCGTCAAAGCTGACAGTCAGTCAGTCAAAGGTGAACACAAAAAGTGGCTGAATGAATGAAAAGACTATCAAGGAAGGCAAGCAACACAATTAGCGTCGGCAGGTTAAGGTTTGGCTGGATGAGAAAGAGAGAAGTGCGTGTCTGGCGAGCAAAATGTTTCCATTCATGGAGCTCAGTTCAGCTGCAGCAACAAATCATTCATTCATTCATTTCTCATCTGCTGTCATCAGCCCGGCTAAATATCATCCGAGTAAACGACGACGACTGTCTTTGTCATGAATGAGAGCTGTTCACTCATTCAACTACTCTGAGATTGCGGCGCTATCAGTAGATCAGCTGCATATCACCGGCTCACATCGGACCTTTCTTTTTCACTCTATCAAAGGGCAATTCATCAGTCAGTAAGCGACATGCGTTCTCCTCCTTTTGGGCCTCTAGGTCCGGCAGGCGCAGTGGCTAGTTTGGTCACACCACCGGTCACGGCTGCTGCTGTCCATTGTCCACCAAGGGAAGGGAAAAAGAGAGTATAAATGCTTAATGACGGAGGGAAAGGGGAAACGAAGGCAGCCGTTTTGTTGTTCGCCAATCGACAGCAGCAGCAGCAGCAGTCAACCCGTCCCAGTGGCGACTCAATTAGCGAGAAAGCGAATGAGTAGAAGAGGGAACCAGATCACTTTTAGCCTGATAGAAACTGAGCAGCAGCAGTTCAATTTGCCCTAAGTGAGCTCGCCGCGTTTTATGCAAAAACTTGCATCCAGCCAGCTACTGCCAATCAGCTAGAGCTTTGTGCCAGTAAACGTGCGCACTTCCTCTTCCTGTCTGTCTGCCTATGCGACACAGAAGCGGGAAAAATCAAGAGTAGAGAATTTTAAGAGTTTCAAGCACATTCTCTCCTTCTCTCAATCGGGCTCAAATCGTCGATGCAAATGATGTCTCGATTTCTGCCCAGTGAACGGCAGGCCCCTTCTCCGTCCGTCAATAGGTTCTCAATGCTGCTTCTCTCGCCCATCAATGGTAATCGCCGTAATATCATTAGGAACGGGAGCATCAGCAGCAGCATTTGCTGAGCAATCGGCAGAGAGAATCTGGCGCACTTCCGTCGCAACCACCTCGCTCTTTTTCTTTCTCCCGTTTTCCCGCTCCTTCTCTCTCTCTCTCTCTCTCTCTCTCTCTCTCTCTCTCTC